TTGGATTTCTTTTAGGGAGGTGAAGTGCTGGTTGAAGTGCATTGTTGCTTCTAAGGAGCCTTTCCCAGTTTTAAAATTACATCCAAGTAGGGAAGACCTTCAGGACATCTCCTTTTTTCTTTTACCTCTCAGTAGAAAGTGAAATAGCACTGCAGGGGAATCTCCAAAAAAAGAACTTGACATGAACAAATGAGTAAACTTACAAAGCAGCAAGTTAACCAGCTTTGACTGCATAAGCAAAGAACTCATACAGAGGCAAGTTTCTCCCCACTCCTGGGACATTGGCAATGTTCAGAGACATTCTGCTTGTCACAACTGGAGGGTGCTACTGGTATTTGTAGGAAAAGAACAGGGATCCTACATGCACAGGCCACAACAAGGAAATTGATCTGGTCCAAAATGCTGATAGTGCTGAGATTGAGAAATTCTGATCTAAAATATCACCTGTTAAAGTATTTTATTCTTAAACATATGAAATAAAGAGTTCCATTTAAACTGTAAAATGATAATATAATTATCATTTTCAAGAATATGAAAACTATATTTTAAAAGTTATTTAAAGTTGTACACATGTACCAAATAACATAAAAAGGGGTATTTAATGAAAATAGCTCCAGAAATAGTAGCCATCACTATCATTTCTAGGACTATATTCAACATATTACTTACTTTATCCCATTTAATGTTAATATCCCTACGAAAGTAAGATTCTCATTTACAGAGATTAGAAAGCAAAAATGAGGAGATTAAATAAATACCTGCCCAAGGTTTCAACACTAGAAATTGCATAACTGACATTTAATCCCAGATCATCTGCAAACCCATGGTGTTGCCATTAAAATGCATTACATTTCAATTTCAAATGAAAGGCAGATTAAAATTTAAAGCACCCCTAATTTCATTTTTCACTGAGTCAAGCATGTTTTTTGAAAGTTAACTTTAGAAAAGTGAACAGCAAAGTCAAAAGCAGTCTACTTAGGAATTATATACTAAGGACACATAAAAAAGAGATCAGACAGTGCCAATGTTTAAAAGGATAACCTAAAGTTAATATTTTTTCTTATAGCAAACAAAATTAAGTAGTTTTATAAAGTTACTAGAGGCCCGGTGCATGAAATTTGTGCCCCAGGGGGCAGGTCCTCAGACCAGCCTGCATCCTCTCCCAATCCAGGACGCTGCCACCGCCAGTCACCTCCCAGTCGGGGGCAGCTCCTGCATTGAGTGTCTGCCCCCCGGTAGTCAGTGTGTGTCATAGCAACTGGTCATTCCACAGTTCAGTCGATTTGCATATTAGGGTTTTATTATATAGGACAGGGGTGGGCAACCCCTGGCACGCATGCCAAACATGGCACGCCAGTAACTTTTGCTGGCACGCGAAACCCTCTCTTATAATCTTCCATTTACAATTTTTTTCTTAATAT